ATATATATATATATATATATATATATATATATATATATTATTCATGTGCGGCATATACACGCGGATGATATGTATATTCCATTAAATATATGTATACGCACATAACACTATGATTATTAGTGAAAAATGGTTATGTATGTACACAAATTTCTATTATTCTGTACAAAGCGTAATATATTTCGATCAAACTTTTTTGAGTTTTTAAATTAAATAATACATGTTCTTAGGATCGTCATTTTTTTCTAGTAGTAGTAGAAATGCATATTGCCGCGTAATGCAATTTTGCATTAAAATTTATTATGAGATTATTCATAGAATACAATACAATATGTATATATTTGTTTTGTTGTTTGTTCCTTTTATTTTTATTTGTTTTTATCAGGGATGGAATATTCGGAATTTCGAAATTTTTTTATAAAAGAATCAAAATCTAGGTAAATAATAATATAATTTAAATAATGTAAATAAGTTACAACAATATCGAGGATATGAATTATTATTTAACTAACAATTTTTAAAAATTAATGACTTTTATTATTATTGGCTGATTATGAAATAGAAATTTAAAGAATTTATATAAAATCAAAATTTATTTATTTTAAATTCTCTTCTTAATAAAGTGCATTGAATAAAAGAAAGAAAAAAATAAAAATTCTAAATTTCAAAAATTTTGAAAAATAATAATAGTTTTAAATTCGAATTTAAAAATCAAGTTTCGATTCATCTCTTATTTATATATCTTTCACGCGCATTTTATACCAATAAAAAAGAAACAATATTTAAAAAAATGATTTTTTTTTAATTTTTCTATTTCTTTTTTTTTTTTTTCTATATAATAGATGCTATGCATAATTATAATTAAAATAATCAATATGTACACATGAAATGGAACTCGAAATGCGCACAGTCCATATCTTTTTGTTAGTTTCTTAACAACGATCCAAAATTGTTTCGTTAAATGAAAAAGATTGTAAATAAGGAAGAGATACGTATACAATAATCAACAAATATTCTAGCATATGCGATTTTTCAATGTCCTTTTAAAAATGTAAGCATACCTAAACTTAGTGGAATATTAGATATTGATTTGTGTGCTTATGTTGGATAGAATTTTAAATAATCGGAATGAGAGATGAGAATAACTGATAATGTGTCTTGCGTTTGAAATTTGAGAGACGCCAGGGATTTGTGAATAATTATACAAATTTTTAATATTTAAGGGTACATATTTTGTTTCTGTCATATAATGCTCAATCAAATATACTCTGGATTCTGATAATTTTACATCAAAAATTTTGTATCTGTCTTATAAAAATAAAAACAATGTACTTATAATATCAATTGTTTGTGAAAAATGTGCTAAAATTATTTTAGCAATTAGATAAGATGTTTCCAAATATCAATATAAATCAATATAAATTAATATTTAATTGTACTCTTAAAAAATATTTCTTGAAGTGAAACTTTACTTTAATATGTGCGTGCGTAATATAAAAATCATATACTAAATTATAAACGAATTTGATTTTAATTAATTATAAATATACTTCAATTGAATTTTTAAAAAACATAAATTTTTCTTTTTTTTGTGTGATGATATTTAATGAATAGAATCCAAATATATAAGTATTAATAGAAATAAAAAATTATAATTTCTTATAAATTATATATTTTAGGCATATATATTTATGTTTATACATATTTAAATAAAACGAATTAATTATCACACAAACAAGTATGTCGTGATGTGGAAAACATATACTATGTTTTTTATTAAATTAAATAATACAGATTTTTAATTTTGATTTAAAAAATTGCTAATTAAATTTTTATTTACTGAAATTAAATATAATTTATGTAATGATACAAATACATTTGAAAATAAAACTTTCGAAAATTATTATCGAATTATTTTTTATTTATTTTTTACTAAATATGTTAAAAATAAAAATTACAATCGAATAATTGGGTTTATAATATTATTAAAAATGTTTTCGAAAACAAATTTTGAAGATATTATTCTAAAATCTTTAGATTTATAATATCTGAAAATTGTTTTAATAATATGTATTGTAAAACATTATATTTAAATATTTATTTAAATATTTATAATATAACTTTTGATATAATAATTTTTTAATACTTAATTATAAAACTTATATTTTTGGATTCAATAATTATCAAATAAAAAAAAATTATGTTAACTCCTTAAAATAGAGTTTAACCTATATTTTTTTTGTTAGCTACAATAATTAATTGACTATATTTTTTTAATTTTAAAATAGTGATTTATAAACAGTCATTGAATTTAAATAGAATAGAACTAAATAAAAATATTTAATTTACTTCAAAAAAAGGAATTACATATGTAACTATAATTTAATTTAGGAAAACTAACGTGTTTTTTTATTAGATATAATACTTCTATGAAAATAAACAAGGTATTTAAAAAAAATTCTATTCTATTTAAACATTTTTAAACATTTTCCCTGACGTCTTTCAGTGGTGATATTTGGATCTGTCCAATCAACAATCGTCTATATTGGTGTCATTTTTCGATAATTGTCTAATTACTATATTGATCGAGAATGAAGCTGCAGACTGCATTGTTTTCATGTAGTTTTGCTGCAACCTTAATACTAATATCGCCCGCGATGTTCCACGCGAAATGTTCCTAAAAATTTGTAACATATCACACGATATACAAACATATATGCATTAGCATACATGTAAAACATACGCATACATACATTTCTATTACGATGTGCATAGATGAGAACACATTCACACACGCCATGCACACGTACACACATTAAGTATGCCGAGGAGAAATGATGAAGTGGAGATGTATACCGGGCAAGCGTAATATAGTTTTAAGCAAGGGTCACGTATTGTACGTATGTGTTGTACATAGCCTAAATAAAAATTACATTTAAAATTATTCGCTGTTCTGAAATATGTATCCTATTAGTTAATAAAAATATGAACCAAAAAAAAAAAAAAATAAGAAATAGAGAAAATTTAATGGAGATATCGAAAAAATATATATACATATATATTAATATCCGAACTGTTATTATTTGATAGCAAACAAAGAAAGAAAAGCTTGGATTAAAATATAAAAATATAAGATATTATTAAAAGTCATTTTAAGATGATTTCTCATAAAAAAAAATAAGAAAATATATTTAATTATTCAGATATTTAAAAATTGAAGTAATTTTTCAAGATCAAAAAATTCATTTTAAAAAGTAAAATAAAAATCAACAAAAGATGTTATAAAAAAAGTGAGTTTTCAGCTTTGCTTTTTAATTATTAATAATTAAAAATTGATGACAATGTCCCTAGACACGAACTTTTTTATAGGAACGAATATAAATACCTCAAACAATAAGGAACATAACAGTTCCATAACATAACAATCTGTTTTTTTTTGCGATCGAATATGAAATACTTATCATATATGTATTTTTGGATTCGAGAAACAACTATATTATGAAGAAATAATATTTCTTCATAAATAAACATATCTATTATCAATAATTTATCATTATAATTTAGATTAAATCCTATTAAGAATAGATAAATTTTAAATCGTTATAACTTTGAAGATAATAATTTTCAATCAACGAATGATTATTAAAAGCATGGATCCTTATCCTTTAAAATATTTTTTCATTTATCTTATGATTTTCAATTCATGAAATATCGTTACGAAGATTCTAAGTTATAAAATGAAACTAATCAATAAACGCAACTAGTTTTTTTTTTTAAACACATGCATTTGTAGGAAAAATATATAATATTTTTGAAAGTAATAATTTGAAAGTAAAATTCTTTCTAATTTGAAAGTTGCTTTTAACAGAATTTTTCATAAATAGATACTGTGATATCTAATAATAACTTTCACTCTCAATGTAATATCTATTAGCAAAAAATATTTATCAACAACAACTTTCGAAAATTTTCAAATCTATTCGTACAATAAATCCGCATTTGCGGATTTATTCATAATTTCTATTTCAAGCATCATAAATATTTTAAATTCTTATATCTTGACAATTGATTGAAATATCAAAATAAAACAAAAAATGATTTTAATTACATAATTTTTTGTTTATTTCTCGAGTGAATTATGTAAATGGAATATTGAATACTAAATATTACATATGTTTATTATAATTCATTACATATTATCTAGAAAATACAATAAAAAATAATTATATTAGTAAAACAATATTATTAATTTTTATGTGAGAATTTTAAATTGAAAATTTCTAATAATAATCTAATAATGAACATATAATAATAAATAAAAATAGGAAATTAATAAAATAAAACATATGTTTTATTATATATAAACTATTTTTAATAATCTGATATAGTACAAGAGTTGATACAGATTAATAGCGCTTACATAATTTATATACATTAATTATTATATATAAATTTAATTAAATTTAATATTTCTTATTTAATAATAATTATTAAATAAAATTCTTTCTATTTAATATTTATATGTAATGAATG